CAAACAGGCACTCAACTTCCTGGCTCATCAACAGATCCTTCTACAAGTACTACTGCAACGGATCCCTCAGTTCAGCCTGGTCAAGGTGGTCAAGGTGGTCAGACACAAACTGGCACTCAACTTCCTGGCTCATCAACGGATCCTTCTATGAGTACCACTGCAACAGATCCCTCAGTTCAACCTGGACACGGTGGACATGGTGGTCAAACACAAACTGGCACTCAACTTCCTGGCTTATCAACGGATCCTTCTACAAGTACTACTGCAACGGATCCTTCAGTTCAGCCTGGACAAGGTAGTCAAGGTGGTCAATCACAAACTAGCTCTCAACTTCCTTGCTCATCAGCGGATCCTTCTACAAGTACTACTGCAACGGATCCCTCAGTTCAGCCTGGTCAAGGTAGTCAAGGTGGTCAATCACAAACTGGCACTCAACTTCATGGCTCATCAACAGATCCTTCTACAAATACTACTGCAGCGGATCCCTCAGTACAGGCTAGTCAAGGTGGTCAAGGTGGTCAATCACAAACTGGCACTCAACTTCCTGGCTCGTCATCCGATCCTTCTGTAAGTACTACTGCAACGGATCCCTCAGTTCAGTCTGGACAAGGTAGTCAGGGTGGTCAAACACAAACTGGCACTCAACTTCCTGGCTCGTCAACGGATCCTTCTGTAAGTACTACTGCAACGGATCCCTCAGTTCAGCCTGGTCAAGGTAGTCAAGGTGGTCAAACACAAACTGGCACTCAACTTCCTGGCTCATCAAACGGATCCTTTTACAAGTACTACTGCAACGGATCCCTCAATTCAGCCTGGCCAAGGTGGTCAAGGTGGTCAAACACAAACAGGCACTCATCTTCCTGGCTCATCAACGGATCCTTTTACAAGTACTACTGCAACGGATCCCTCAATTCAGCCTGGCCAAGGTAGTCAAGGTGGTCAAACACAAACAGGCACTCATCTTCCTGGCTCATCAACGGATCCTTCTACAAGTACTACTGCAACGGATCTCTCAGTTCAGCCTAGTCAAGGTAGTCAAGGTGGTCAAACAGGCACTCAACTTCCTGGCTCATCAACAGATCCTTCTACAAGTACTACTGCAACGGATCCCTCAGTTCAGCCTGGTCAAGGTGGTCAAGGTGGTCAGACACAAACTGGCACTCAACTTCCTGGCTCATCAACGGATCCTTCTATGAGTACCACTGCAACAGATCCCTCAGTTCAACCTGGACACGGTGGACATGGTGGTCAAACACAAACTGGCACTCAACTTCCTGGCTTATCAACGGATCCTTCTACAAGTACTACTGCAACGGATCCTTCAGTTCAGCCTGGACAAGGTAGTCAAGGTGGTCAATCACAAACTAGCTCTCAACTTCCTTGCTCATCAGCGGATCCTTCTACAAGTACTACTGCAACGGATCCCTCAGTTCAGCCTGGTCAAGGTAGTCAAGGTGGTCAATCACAAACTGGCACTCAGCTTCCTGGCTCATCAACGGATCCTTCTACAAGTACTACTGCAACGGATCCCTCAGTTCAGCCTGGACAAGGTGGTCAATCACAAACTGGCACTCAACTTCCTGGCTTATCAACGGATCCATCAACGGCAACAAATCCCTCAGTTCAGCCTGGACAGTGTGGTCAAGGTGGTCAAACACAAACTGGTACTCAACTTCCTGGCTCATCAACAGATCCTCCTACAAGTACTACTGCAACGGATCCCTCAGTACAAGCTAGTCAAGGTGGTCAAGGTGGTCAATCACAAACTGGCACTCAACTTCCTGGCTCATCAACGGATTCTTCTACAAGTACTACAGCAACAGATCCCTCAGTTCAGCCTGGTCAAGGTAGTCAAGGTGGTCAATCACAAACTGGCACTCAACTTCCTGACTCATCAACGGATCCTTCTACAAGTACTACTGCAACAGATCCCTCAGTTCAGCCTGGTCAAGCTAGTCAAGGTGGTCAAACACAAACTGGCACTCAACTTCCTGGCTCATCAACAGATCCTTCAACAAGTACTACTGCAACGGATCCCTCAATTCAGCCTGATCAAGGTAGTCAAACACAAACTGGCTCTCAACTTCCTGGCTCATCTAGTCTCTACAAGTAATCTGCACGGATCTTCAGTCAGAACGGCAAGGAGCAGGTGTCAAAACAACAAAACTGGCACTCAACTTCCTGGCTCATCAACGGATCCTTCTGCAAGTACTACTGCAACGGATCCCTCAGTTCAGCCTGGACAAGGTAGTCAAGGTGGTCAATCACAAACTAGCACTCAACTTCCTTGCTCATCAACGGATCCTTCTACAAGTACTACTGCAACGGATCCCTCAGTTCAGCCTGGTCAAGGTAGTCAAGGTGGTCAATCACAAACTGGCACTCAACTTCCTGGCTCATCAACGCATCCTTCCACAAGTACTACTGCAACGGATCCCTCAGTTCAGCCTGGACAAGGTGGTCAAGGTGGTCAATCACAAACTTGCACTCAACTTCCTGGCTTATCAACTGATTCGTCCACTAGTACTACTGCAACGGATCCCTCAGTTCAGCCTGGTCAAGGTAGTCAAGGTGGTCAAACACAAACTGGCCCTCAACTTCCTGGCTCATCAACGGATACTTCTGCAAGTACTACTGCAACGGATCCCTCAGTTCAACCTGGACAAGGTAGTCAAGGTGGTCAATCACAAACTGGCACTCAACTACCTGGCTCATCAACAGATCCTTCTACAAGTACTACTGGATCGGATCCCTCAGTTCAGCCTGGTCAAGGTAGTCAAGGTGGTCATTCACAAACTGGCACTCAACTTCCTGGCTTATCAACGGATCCATCCACAGCAACGCATCCCTCACTTCAGCCTGGTCAAGTTGGTCAAGGTGGTCAATCACAAACTGGCACTCAACTTCCTTGCTTATCAGCGGATCCTTCTACAAGTACTTCTGCAACGGATCCCTCAGTTCAGCCTGGTCAAGGTGGTCAAGGTGGTCAATTACAAATTGACACTCAACTTCCTGGCTCATCAACGGATCCTTCTACAAGTACTACTGCAACGGATCCCTCAGTTCAACCTGGTCAAAGTGCTCAATCACAAACTGGCACTCAACTTCCTGGCTCATCAACGGATCCTTCTGCAAGTACTACTGCAACGGATCCCTCAGTTCAGCCTGGTCAAGGTAGTCAAGGTGGTCAATCACAAACTGGCACTCAGCTTCCTGGCTCATCAACGGATCCTTCTACAAGTACTACTGCAACGGATCCCTCAGTTCAGCCTGGACAAGGTGGTCATTCACAAACTGGCACTCAATTTCCTGGCTCATCAACGGATCCTTCTGTAAGTACTACTGCAACGGATCCCTCAGTTCAGCCTGGTCAAGGTGGTCAAGTGGTCAAACACAAACAGGCACTCATCTTCCTGGCTCATCAACGGATCCTTTTACAAGTACTACTGCAACGGATCCCTCAATTCAGCCTGGCCAAGGTAGTCAAGGTGGTCAAACACAAACAGGCACTCATCTTCCTGGCTCATCAACGGATCCTTCTACAAGTACTACTGCAACGGATCTCTCAGTTCAGCCTAGTCAAGGTAGTCAAGGTGGTCAAACAGGCACTCAACTTCCTGGCTCATCAACAGATCCTTCTACAAGTACTACTGCAACGGATCCCTCAGTTCAGCCTGGTCAAGGTGGTCAAGGTGGTCAGACACAAACTGGCACTCAACTTCCTGGCTCATCAACGGATCCTTCTATGAGTACCACTGCAACAGATCCCTCAGTTCAACCTGGACACGGTGGACATGGTGGTCAAACACAAACTGGCACTCAACTTCCTGGCTTATCAACGGATCCTTCTACAAGTACTACTGCAACGGATCCTTCAGTTCAGCCTGGACAAGGTAGTCAAGGTGGTCAATCACAAACTAGCTCTCAACTTCCTTGCTCATCAGCGGATCCTTCTACAAGTACTACTGCAACGGATCCCTCAGTTCAGCCTGGTCAAGGTAGTCAAGGTGGTCAATCACAAACTGGCACTCAGCTTCCTGGCTCATCAACGGATCCTTCTACAAGTACTACTGCAACGGATCCCTCAGTTCAGCCTGGACAAGGTGGTCAATCACAAACTGGCACTCAACTTCCTGGCTTATCAACGGATCCATCAACGGCAACAAATCCCTCAGTTCAGCCTGGACAGTGTGGTCAAGGTGGTCAAACACAAACTGGTACTCAACTTCCTGGCTCATCAACAGATCCTCCTACAAGTACTACTGCAACGGATCCCTCAGTACAAGCTAGTCAAGGTGGTCAAGGTGGTCAATCACAAACTGGCACTCAACTTCCTGGCTCATCAACGGATTCTTCTGCAAGTACTACTGCAACGGATCCCTCAGTTCAGCCTGGTCAAGGTGGTCAAGGTGGTCAATCACAAACTGGCACTCAACTTCCTGGCTCATCAACGGATCCTTCTACAAGTACTACTGCAACGGATCCCTCAGTTCAGCCTGGTCAAGGTGGTCAAGGTGGTCAAACACAAACTGGCACTCAACTTCCTGGCTCATCAACGGATCCTTCACAATATTACTGCAACGGATTCCCTCAGTCAGCCTGGTCAAGGTAGTCAAGGTGGTCAATCACAAACTGGCACTCAACTCTTTGGGTCGTCAACGGATTCTTCTACAAGTACTACTGCAACGGATCCCTCAGTTCAGCCTGGACAAGGTGGTCAAGGTGGTCAATCACAAAGTGGCACTCAACTTCCTGGCTTCTCAACGGATTCTTCCACAAGTTCTACTGCAACGGGTTCCTCAGTTCAGCCTGGACAAGGTGGTCAATCACAAACTGGCACTCAACTTCCTGGCTCATCAACTGATCCTTCCACAAGTTCTACTGTAACGGATCCCTCAGTTCAGCCTGGTCAAGGTGGTCAAGGTGGTCAATCACAAACTGACACTCAACCTCCTGTCTCATCAACGGATCCTTCTGCAAGCACTCTTGCAACGGATCCCTCAGTTCAGACTAGTCAAGGAGGTCAAACACAAACTGGCATTCAACTTCCTGGCTCATCAACGGATTCTTCTACAAGTACTACTGCAACGGATTCCTCTGTTCAGACTAGTCAAGGAGGTCAAACACAAACTGGCACTCAACTTCCTGGCTCATCAACGGATTCTTCTACAAGTACTACTGCAACGAGTGCCTCAGTTCAGA